GGTGGAGAGTTCTGTAGATGTCTATTAGGTCTGCCTGTTGCAGAGCTGAGTTCAGGTCCTGGATATCCTTGTTAACCTTCTGTCTCGTTGATCTGTCTGATATTGACAGTGGGGAACATCATGATTTCTTTAACTTCTCTTTGTTATGTTACTGCACTGGCTAGGACCTGCAGTCTTTCAAGGAGTGGTATAGTAGACATCCTGTCATATTCTTATTTTTAAAAGGAATTTAAAATTAGCCGGGCATGGTGGTGCTCGCCTCTAGTCCCAGCTACTCAGGAAGCTGAAGTGGGAGGATTGCTTGAGCCCAGGAGTTTTGAGGCTGTAGTGAGCTATGATCACGCCACTGTACTCCAGCCTGGGTGTCAGAGAGAGACCTTGTCTCTAGGGGAAAAAAAAAGGTTTTTTTAAAAAAGAACCTTTCCAATATTTATTCGTTAAGAATAATGTAGATTTTTAGTACATACCTTTTAATAGGGCTAAAGAAGTTCCTTTATATTTGTAGTTGCTGAGCATTTTAAATGGGTATGGGTTTTGAATTTAATCAAATGCTCTTTCAGTATCTGCTGAGATGATCATTTGTTTTTTTCCTTTTATCTGTTAATGTGGTGAATGTCTTTTAAAGATTTCCTAATGATAAACCACCCTTGCATTTCTCCGATAAACTCAGCTTAGTCATTACATATTATCTTTTTTATGTACTGCCTGACCATGTGCTAATGTTTTGTTTATAAGATCTCACTATTTGCATTTATGAGTAAGACTGGCCCGTAGTTAATTTTCCTCTCTTATATATCTCTGCCTGATTTTAGTTTCAAAGTTATATCTACCTCATACAGTGACTTGGAGAGTATTCCCTCTTCAGTTCTCTGAAAGACTTTATATAATATTGGAATGATTTGTATCTTGAAAGTTTGGTATGACTTGCCTATAAAAGTATCAGAGCCTGGCGTTTTGGTTTTTAGTTTTAAGAAAGTTTTGTTTTTGTTTTTTAACAACTGCTTCAATTTCTTTAACATTAAAAGGCCATCCAGGCTTTCTATTTCTTGAGTGAGTTTTGGTAAATTACATTTTCCTTAAAAAATCTAAGTTTTAAAATATTATTGCAGAGAACTTCTTCATAGTATTCTCTCACCTTTTTATTCTCTGCCGTCTTTGTCATTACGTCCCCTGTTCATTTCTAGTATTGTTTATTTGTGCCTACTCTTTTTTTCTTGATCAACCTTGCCAGAGGTTTGTTCAGAAACCCACTCTGGGTTTGGTTCATTCTCTTCATTATATGTTTATTTTCTGTTTCATTGTTTTATGACCTAATTTTTATTATCTCCTTTTTTTTAACTTTCTATTAGTTTTAGCTAACTTTACAAATTTGACACATAGTTCATTTATTTCCAGTCTTTCTTTCTTTCTTTTTTTTTTTTTTTTTTGAGACAGGGTCTCGCTCCATCAGCCGCTGGAATGCAGTAGCATAATCATAGCTCACTGCAACCTCCTTAAACTCCTGGGCTCAAGTAATCCTCCTGTCTCAGATTCCTGAGTTAGGACTACAAGCAACCACACCCAGCTAATTTTTTTAATACTTTGTAGAGATAGAGTCTTGCTTTACTGCACAGGTTGGTCTCAAACTCCTGGCCTCTAGTGATCTTCTCGCCTCAGCCTCCCAAAACACTGAGGTTATAGACATGAGCCGCCATGCCCAGCCTTCTTTTCTTTTTCTTTTTTTTTTTTTTTTTTCTGAGATGGAGTCTCGCTCTGTCGCCCAGGCTGGAGTGCAATGGTGCGACCTGTGCTCACTGCAACCTCTGCTTCCGGATTCAAGCGATTCTCCTGCCTCAGCCTCCCAAGTAGCTGGGATTACAGGTGCCCACCACCACACATGGCTAATTTTTATATTTTAGGAGAGACGGGGTTTCACCATATTGGCCAGGCTGGTCTCGAACTCCTGACCTCGTGAGCCGCCCACTTCGGCCTCCCAAAGTGCTGGGATTGCAAGTGTGAGCCACCGTGCCTGGCCCAGCCTTCTTTTCTAATATGTGCATTTAAGACTAAACTCTCCCTGTAAATACTGTCTTAATGTATCCCACCAGTTTTGATACGAAGCATTTTTATAACTCAATTCTAAGTATTTTTACATTTCTATTATGATACTTTTCATTGACCTATAAGTTATTTATAATTTTCTGTTACTTTTCACACTTATGGGATTTTCTGTATATCTTTTTGTAATTTACTTCTAACTTAATTGCATTGTGGTTGGAGAATGTAGTCTATATGACACCATGTCTTTGAGGTTTGTCGAGACTTGCTTTATAGCATAGCACTTTAATCATTTTTATAAATGGCCCGTATGTACTTAAGATGAATGTTTATTCTTTAATTGTTGCATGCGGAGTTATCTTTTTGTAATGAAGCCAGGTCAGTATGTAAATTTGTGCACGATTTATAAATAAGGAAGCAAAATTGTAAATAACACTCTACGCATTGGTTCTTGGTCATTTCTTTCTAGCTGAAGTATTACAAGATGCTGAAATGCCAACCAAAGATTAAATTATGTTTAACGGAACTTGCTGTTATGTAGATATTATCATGTCACAACTCTTGGAAAATTAACAACCTTCGTATCATATCTGGCAGATAACGATAGCAGGAAACACTGACATGGTGCTTGGTATGCGCCAAGAACAGTTCTAAGCCTTCTGCATATATTAAATTTGTTTAGCTCTTAAAACAATCCATGAGATGGGTACTGTTTTCATCTCCATTTTACAAATGTAAAAACTGAGATATGGAGAGTTCCAGTAATTTACCCAAGATCTTAAAGCTAGTAAGCAAGGAAGCGGGAATTTGAACCCAGGCAGTCTGGATCCAGAAGCCATACTTTTAAACCACTATACATACCACCTCTCTCAGAAAAATAAACAGATTTCTGCAGCCATCCATCAAAACTGTGCCTTCCATAAGTAGATATATCTGTTTTGATGAGGTTACTACATGAGTTAAATAATTCTGCTGCAACCAAACTTGTGTCTGTCTCTGAAATATTGGCCCTCAATATTCAACTTAGTTTTTAAAAATTACGTTAATGCCTCTGGATTTTGTTACTATAAAAGCATATATCATTTCATGTTTATAATGTTATATAATTTCTTAGGTACACTTCACGTTGGTGATGAAATTCGAGAAATCAATGGCATCAGTGTGGCCAACCAAACAGTGGAACAGCTGCAAAAAATGCTTGTAAGTAAATGAAAGTTTTTCCTTTCCTAAAATCGACTTTTACTCTGTTAGCTTGTTTTTAAATACACAAATGAGGAGTATTCTGTAATCAGAGAATTTCTGGTACCATATTTATGTGGACTTGAACTTATATAACATTCACAAAACTGACAACTAGAAAAATGTTGAAATACAATAGAATTTACAAACATTTTGCCTGTCTTTAGCAATGTGGGCTTTAACACTCTCCTTTTATCCTTTATCTCCTGTTTCTTACTAAGCAGATGTTTAAAGAAAACCTTTTCAGCGTTTATACATGTGAACTAGTTTCTCACTGACCTCAACTCTCCTGACATCAGCAGTGTCAGAAACCTCTTTCCTGTTGAGCTGAGTCATAGCCAGCTGTCGTGGATTTCTCTACAGCATAGAAGGGAGGAAAGCCACGGTAGACCAGGCCATTTTTGACCATACATATTCAAAATCTGTATTCGAATTAGGCTTTGGATTTTTAAAAAAGGCAAAATGACAGCCTTTGCCTGTGTTGATTGTCATAGCAAGCAGACAGAGGTGTTTTGGGCCTCTGGTCCCTTTTCCCACTGCAGTGTAGTAGCCCCCAGGTTATGAATACCTATTAAGTATGAAATAAACTTTACAGACTCACCAAAAAAATTTTTTAAAGCCAAAATTAGTGAGCAAAAAGTGGCTGGGTGCGGTGGCTCACACCTGTAATCCCAGCACTTTGAGAGGCCAAGGTGGGCGAATCACCTGAAGTTGGGAGTTCGAGACCAGCCTGGCCAACATGGTGAAACCCCGTCTCTACTAAAAATACAAACATTAGCAGGGCATGGTGGCGCATGACTATAATTCCAGCTACCTGGGAGGCTGAGGCAGGACTATCACCAGAACCTGGGAGGCAGAGGTTACAGTGAGCCGAGATGCTGCCACTGCACTCCAGCCTGGATGACAGAGCAAGACTCTCTCAAAATAAATAAATAAAAATTTTTAAAAAGTAAAAAGCGTATTCGATGGGGTATACCATTATAATGTGGCATACTCAATATAATTTTTATGTAATTACCTAGTTTATTATCTAATTCAATGTATATTCACTTTTGAAAGGCATGTCACTTAGAAAGTTTTGTATTCATGTCTATAAAAAGGTGACCATTGAAGATCTGTGAGACCATTGCTGTATGAGTAAGGCAATCGGCTGCTGGGCTTTTCCCAGGAACTTCCTCTGCTGTTAACTCCCTGCTTCATGACTAGGTTTCATTGTTGGGCTATGTGCTCTCAGATGGCTTGTGCTAATTGCCCCCACATATTTTGAGTGGCTTCTTACATGGTTTTGCGAACATTTGTTTGTAAGAAAACTTTTCTATCTTTTTTTTCCCCCTCTCCAGAGGGAAATGCGGGGGAGTATTACCTTCAAGATTGTGCCAAGTTACCGTACTCAGTCTTCATCCTGTGAGGTAATGACTCTAACAAACCACCCCCATCTCCTCTGAGTTCTTAACTAACTGTCTGCTGATGGCTGTATGTTTTTGCTTTCTGGGAGATTGTTTCTGCCTGTGCTGTTAGATCACTGCACACCAATTTTACAACAAAGATAACGGAACAGAGTAGGTCCCATCCACCTACTCAGCCCTGCTTCCATGTGGATCTCCTCAGCACTTGAACTTTTTGCAGGCTGAAATCTGAGCAAAATGTAGAGAAGTTATAAATAATGACATAAGGCTTAATAAGGAAAAAACGGAGTGTCTGAGGGAAAGAAACTAAAGGCCATAATTGCAATAATATTTCCAGGAAGTTCATTCACTTCCCTTGTTAAGAAATCACATAGATAGTTCTTCTTTCCAAGAATCTGAGAAGTGATCTATTTCTGTTGAGATAGAGTTGTTCATATAATTGCGATAGGTCTCTAGATGGAAGTTAAGTCTGCAATGAATTGATAATTGACTTCACTAGAGGGAAATAGGCTTTTGCAACCTTTTGTAAAATTGTTTAAATTTAGAATGGTATGTCATCTGTAAACAAGTAAGTTTTCTAGAGTAATACAGCCCCAAAGTTTCTTTCTTAAAATAGGTTTATCTTATAGAAATTATAGTTCTTCTAACCTATATTATTCAGTTTCGTGTTAGTTATTAAATGAGATTCAAAAATCTATTCTTTTTATATTGGAAATATAAACGGTCATAAATGGTATCATCCTTTGGTCATTGCACATTCAGCTCGAGTGTTATTTATTGAAGCTTGTTCTTTCATGTGCATCTTCTAAGAATGTGTGCATCAATATGAAGTACACATTTCCTAAAGTTAATTTTTAGGACTGACAGGTAACTTATTGGATTTGTACTTAGAAGAACCTGAGAGAGAAACTGTAATACTTCTAGTCTCTAGTGATGGTGTAAATTTTATAAGAAAAATCAGAGGCTTCATATTTTTTTAAAACCTATTGCAGATACATATTAAAATGTGTAGTTTTGTCAAGTGTATTTTTGGTGAGCCATGGCAGTTGAGGTGTCCGTTATAACGGGTCTTGAGCTCCTCTTGGTGGCTTTTTGTGGAACTTCAATTAATAGTATATTTCAAAAGAAAATGCAGAATTGCTTCTGTTCCAGGATTCAGAGCATTGAAATTTGTTACCTAGAGCACAAACTTTGCTGGGAAACAAAGAATGTCACACTTAACATTTTATGTAAATAATTTTAATATTCTAGAATTACAGATGTCCTTACATCATTTCTCATCTGTTGAAGAAATTTAGTAAATACAATTGATTTTTGTCTTTTTGGCTAACTAACTAGAAGGTACTGTTAGCTATTAATATAACGTAAGTTTCTCTTTTGTTTTTTAAGTGGTCGAACTAGTTTGGGGTGGAACCAGTATCATAGATGTAAATTCTATGTTCTTGAGTAAAAAGAACCCCTCTTACCTTCTTTGCCTTTGAATAGTAGGAAAAATAATGATACTTCTCTCCTAGCTCCATCCCCAGCCTTTTTGGCCCTCGTGTTCCCTGGCAGAATTCAAGCTTGTGGTTGGACTCTTCCCAGCTAGGGCAATATTTCAAAAAAAAAAAAAAAAGAAGGCTCTCTGGCCACCTGCATCTGCATCCCCCAGGTCCTTGGTTAAAGAGTAGACCCCTGCCCCTCACCCTGGCTCTACTGACTTGAGTCTCTGCGGGTGGCACCTGGAGATCAGTCTTGCTCACTAACATATGAGAATGCTCTTCTAAGGGATCTCATTACCTTTAAGGCTAACAGGTTCTAGAAATGCTCTTAAGTCATCTAGGGAAAAAAACAAATGTCTTTTAAAGAGACATGCACATTTCTAAGGCTTAAAAGAACTCTACAGAAACAAAAATTTAAAAGTACTTATTTCCTACCTCTCCTTGTTCTTATCATTAAAGTTGATTTAGACACTAAGGGAATGGAGCCTGGAAAATATTTTGAGTGTGTAGAATAGTAGAGAGAAAGCAAGCGATGGAGGAGCCTGGATATAGGTAGAGAGGCTGTGGCTCCTAGGATCTTCGCCGGAAGTGTAATATTATTAAAGGCTTGAGATCAGTGTTTTAATCAATCTACTAAAATGGTCTTTAAAAAGAGTTCTTCTCTGATGTATATCTCTTTTACCCTTACTAGTAATAATATTTATTCTATAATAGAAAGATTCTGAAGGAATTATAGCATGTGAAATCTTAGGTTTGTTTCTCTTCAGATTGGGTCAGTTAGTAACTCTTGACACTGAGGTACTAAAAATTGTTAAATGCTTTTCAAACCTAATCTTTAATAAAAATTAGGCAGTTGGGATCTTCAGCACAATAATTTTATAGTAATATTTGTCATCTTATACTTGATAGGGTTTAATATCAAGTCACTCTTCTAGGTCTCATTAAAAGAAAGAAAAGGTATAGAATGTTAGCGATAGGAAAGAATTGATTAAAATGAATGACACGGTCATCACTTATAATATGTGAGCCTTCGAACTGCAAAATTTTTTTCATACTTCTGTGAAATCATGCAAGCAAGTCAGTATGGCACTTATGCAGCTCAAACCTCAAAGGAAATGGTTGTCAGACTGTGGTTGTTACTGTTGATGTAAATATCTCTGTGTTTCTGTGCTGGTGTTCTGTGTTAATGAACCTTGTGTCTTATTTCAGAGAGATTCCCCTTCCACTTCCAGACAGTCCCCAGCTAATGGTCATAGCAGCACTAACAATTCTGTTTCGGTAAGAACTTTAGCTCCACACAGCAAAGTGTGACAATTTTGTTGGTGCTCACCTGCCATGAGTGTTCTAGTTACATGTGTTCAGTGGAAATAGTGTCTTCTGCTGATATACAAGGCTACTACAGCTACAATGCACTTTACTCCTGGAAAATCTTTTTTAACATTTCCTTCTCATTAAAAATTCCCTTCAGCAGTTAAATTTGAAGAAATGTAGTTCAATACTGCTTTGGTCATTCTAAAAATATTTCTATGCCACCCCACTTGTATGTATTTCTTTGCTCAAACCTATACAAACGATGTAAATGGAAATTTGTTTAAACTTCTAAATATTTTTTAATTTGAAAAAGATAAATGTAAAAATTTTGCAGAGTAGGCATTTGGGTATTCTTGGGCTTTGTAGTTTTCTATTCTGAGTGATATCAGCAACATGTTTTAGTTTCCGCTATCTAAGTTTACGAATTGGTGTGCCCTCTGTTATTGTGGTACGTGCACATATTTTTGTGAATTATAAGCCTTGCCTGGATATGAAAAGCAAAAAGAACTGGCTTCAAACTGCACTTAAGCCACGCTGTTATCACATCTTTAACACAAAGTACTTTATATTTGACTTGAACTTGGAGTTTTAAATTTTTTCAGAACTATCCATTTTGGAATATAGAAAGAATTGTTTTTAACTTATTTAAACAAATGGAAGCACTTAACAGGTGCAGGTTGGCAATATTTTTGTTGCTAATACTGCTGTTTATCACCCAGTTAAAATTATTGAGAGTTCTAATAATGCAGCAGTATTCTTCTATCCTGACTTTTAATTTGCCGTTTGAGAATGTATCAACTTTTTTATCAGGTAAAATTGTAAATAATTTAGAAATTATCGCAAATGGAATGATATTCTAAGTATATCAGTAAGAGAAATTATGAAAGAAAATTTTCTACGACTTTATTTTCAACTTTAAAATAGGCTACCAAAGGAATTCATTCGTAACAGTTAACATTTAATGCTTTTAAGATGAAAAGCCATATAGCCATTGAATTTTTCAAAATCTAAATGGTTGCAGTGACTAAGTTGAAAAGGGCAACAGCTCCTTTTATTTATTTATTTATTTTTAATAGGCTGTTTCACTTGCAGTGGCTTTTGTGTTGAAGATGCTGAGTTGTTTCTTAAGAACACATTATCTCTCTGCTTAAACTTACCTGCTTTCTTCAGCTTGCTGCTAAATGGCCTGGGTTTGATTTTTTTGATAACTCAACATTTCTGAGAAATGGAATAATGTATATTATCTCTTTACAACTTAAATCTAGCTCATTTTTTTAACCATATTGTAACAGAACACACAAATTACTTTGTACTCTTGAAAAATAAATGAAAATTTTTCTCCTGGGTTGGCTTTATTCTACAGGACTTGCCATCAACTACCCAACCAAAAGGACGACAGGTGAATAGATATCCTCTATAGAAACTTCTCTAAACTGAGCTGCTAATAGCCAATCCTTTATTAACCCTTTCCATCCCATAATGTTTGCATTTTGGACCATAACATTTGAGCATTGAGAGCTTGTACCATTTCATTTTAACACATTACACATGACTAATTCTCTATAAAGAATTTTTCCTCACATCTTTGTAGCTGTGATGGTTATTGTAATTTCAACCTGATAATTTTATATTAACGGTTAAGAATTCATCCTTCGTGGGGGCCTATGGGCCTGCCTCTGGCATGCAAAAGAATTTTAAAGGTTATAACATTCTTAGAATTCTAAGAATAACTAAAAAGTACCTGCTGATGAACATTTTTAAGCAACAGTTTTCTGAAGTTGAAAGCTTTTTCTTAAGTTTGTATTTGCATGTGTATTTCTAAAAGCCATTTGCAATGAAAAATAAGAAAAGAATATAAATTATCTTGGCTTTACATCCTGATATGCCTGTGCTAGTTCAAACATGAAAAGTTAAGTGCTGCGTAACACTGGCAAGTAACTTTCAAATTGCCAGCACTTTAGAGGTATAGATTTTAAATGCAAATGCAGAGACTTGTTAATTTTATAGGCTGGATTGCTGAAAATAAACAGAAAAAATCACACAGTGGTTCCAAAGTCTTCAGGTTGGTTTTACAGTGACTTAAACATTAATATTCAATTTTAATTTCAAGAGATAGAATTTTTATGGCATTTTTATCTTGAAATATAGTATTAAAAATAATCAGATTTAGTGTTAAGATATGTATAAATTAGTACCTGATAGAATTCACCCATAATTTTGTCTTAAGACTGTATAATTGATGCAACATGGGATATGAATTACCTTATCTTAAAGCATTTAAAAATCAAATAATTCATAAAATGCTGCCATATAATAAACCCTTGAATGCTAATCTATTTCCTAAGTAAATTCACATATCATAAAACTCAGAACCTGGAACTATGCATGTCTTGAAGCTCTGTGCTGATTTCAAGTGTTACACTGGGGAAACTAGGGTTCAAATTCATTTTTATTCTCTCAGAAGAGTAAAATACAAACCTAAAACCTAAATTAGAAAAAAATAAAGCTATTTTTTTAACTTTTAAAAAAATTGTTTGAGTTACACTTAACTTTATCAGCAGTGTGTAGACACACTGCCAGTTGTCATATAAGCATTTTTACAGCAGGATACCAACCCAGAGTTCTTGCTAGTTTTAATTCATGTGCTGCTTTAGGGTTAAAACCTATCCTGACTGCTAGTATTTATGGCTTAAAGGCTGCCACACAGTCATGACAAATTATCCATAATGCCAGCATCACCAATGCAGGTTTAAAAAAGAGCGAGCATACTTTTCTATAATTATAAGCCTATTCTGTTATAGTAAAAGCATAAATTAAGTCTTTATTCTTATTAAACAAGTATTTCAAGTATTCCTTCCAAATAAAAACAGCAAAGTTTTGAAGCTATACACATCAAAGATTACTAGTACATTGTTTCTAGCGGTAGAAGTTTTTTGTGTCGTATTTCCATGCATCGTTTTTGCTTTCACCATCTGATGTCCTGTTAGTATTGTAAGTGTTGCTGTGTGGTTATGACATTAGAGCTAACTTCTCTTTCACATCACTATGGCATCCTTTCTTACAAACTCCTGTTTTATAGATCTATGTAAGAGCACAATTTGAATATGATCCAGCCAAGGATGACCTCATCCCCTGCAAAGAAGCTGGCATTCGATTCAGAGTTGGTGACATCATCCAGATTATTAGTAAGGATGATCATAATTGGTGGCAGGGTAAACTGGAAAACTCCAAAAATGGAACCGCGGGTCTCATTCCTTCTCCTGAACTTCAGGAATGGTATGTTTTTATGCGTGTTTTATTTTGCTTGATTATAAAAACTAAGCCCTGACCATCCATTTTCCAATTTTATATTATTTTAGAGTGTAAAACCTGTTTGATATATTCCTTCCTTTACGAGCCAAACAAAATTTAAATTAGTCATCCAAGAATTCTGTATCTTCAGTATCTAGTGAGATCCCAGTTACAGAGTCAGGGCTTCATTTTACACACAAAGAAAGGAAGGTCTGCAAAGAGATTTGTTGACCAGCCCTGAGCCAAGTCATGGTCTCAGAGCAGAGCCTTCCACTCCTATATGCTGTTGCAATTGTTTTAGAATGGCGTTTTTAAAATGTACCTTCTCCTTGCCCTTCTACATGCTTTCATGCCCATCCCATCCCACCAGCAGCAAAAAACGTAGGTGCAGCGCTTCAGTGTCACTCAGAGTATTTGAAGATAAAATGTATTTCACTGTTAGAAGAAAAGGGTAGTCAGAAGCTTTGTTCTTTACCTTGCCAGTCGTTTAAAAATACCTTTTCTGCTAGAAAGTTTAAGCCCTAAAAGCAGGCTAAAGTTAGGGGTTTTAGGCACTGTTTTTAGCTGAGGGAAGAGGAGTCACAGATCACTGTATATTTTGATAAAATCTATTTCTGCTATTATTATTATAGTTTCCTTAGTTGAACTGTCTTTTGGAAAATATTGATGGTTTTACCTTTGTTGGTACTTGGGCGATATACCAGATTATTTCTAGCACAAAAGAGATAATGTCTGAGTTTTGTTTCATGTGGCAAAAATAACAGCCGTTAAGCATTCTGCCAGTTCCTCCTAAAATATTTGAACCCAGCTAAAAGAGACTGAAGACATCGAGTCCATAGAAATTTCTTCCTGCTTTTATCTATTTTTCTCACTAGTTAAGAGATCTCTCCGTTAATCTCTTTTGCTTGATCGCCTCTTTCAGCTATCCCATGTTTCCCCAAAAACTAGTATTAAATTTAGAATGTTGGAGCTGATGAGGACTTCAGATACCATCATTTTATACATAAGGAAACGTGGGCCCAAATGGAGAAGCAGCAGCCTTCCATCTGGCATTGTCTTCCAGTCTGATCTTCGAGAAACAGTTTAAGCATAAGCAGGAGGAAAGCAATCTCTAAGTCGTTGTCATGATGATGCCATTATATTCTTACTGATATTTACATTTTACAAAATGTCTTCTTTAGTGTTACCATATATTATGGGCATTTATTGAAAATAATTGTGTAGATTCCAGACCTCTTCTGCCTAGTCAGATCATCTATATAAACGTTTTACCAGTGTCTAGAACTCTGAGTCCTCTGGAGGAATCCTGAGTGATGGCAGTGCAAAAAGTAGATTTGCTTCCCATTTCCCGTAATGATGGATGAGATTATTTGGATAAATCCTCCGGATGAAAAAACAATGAAAAGTGCTGCAGAAAATATGTTTTAAAATGACCTTGAAAGCACTGAATAGCTGAAAAGGTATCAGGGGCCAGGCACGGTGACTCACACCTGTAATCCTAGCACTTCGGACGCCGAGACAGGCGGATCACTTGAGGTCAGGAGTTCGAAGATAGCCTGACCAACATGATGAAACCCCGTCTATACTCGAAATACGGAAAAAAAAAAAAAAAATTAGCTAGGTGTGATGGCAGGCACCTGTAATCCCAGCTACTTGGGAGGCTGAGGCAGGAGAATTGCTTGAGCCTGAGAAGCAGAGGTTGCAGTGAGCCGTGATTGCGCCACTGCGCTCTAGCCTGGGCAACAGAGTGAGAGTCCGTCTCGGGGGAATAAAAAGAGGTATCGGGGAGCTCAGTGACCAATTTTTTTTTTTTTTTTTGAGACGGAGTCTCGCCCTGTCACCCAGGCTACAGTGCAATGGCACAATCTCGGGTCACTGCAACCTCCACCTCCCAGGTTCAAACGATTCTCCTGCCTCAGCCTCCCGAGTAGCTGTGATTACAGGCACCCGCCACCACGTATTTTTAGTAGAGACAGGGTTTCACCATGTTGGCCAGGCTGGTCTTGAACTCCTGACCTCATGATCCGCCCGCCTCGGCCTCCCAAAGTGCTGGGATTACAGGCGTGAGCCACCGCACCAGGCCTCAGTGACCAATTTTTATATGAAAGCCTTTAATCAGAATGATAAGTGGAATATCAGAGTTACCACATGGCCCATTTTGCAAACAGGGCATTTGTCATTACTGAACACTTCTGTGCCAGAGAACCACGGTTAAGATCTAAGGCCAGTACAAGTTGGGAAATCTGTTAGAAGACACTCCTCATTGTTAGGAGTGCAAAAGGCAATCCCCCCAGGATAAAAGGAGACAGATAAGCATGCCCTTATTTCCCTTCAACACCGGAAGACTATAGAGAAAGCTGCCTTGTCACTGAGCAAAGCAAAAGATGAGGAACAAACTTCCCCTGAAAAAATTGCGGCCACCAGTCCACCTTGAATGGATTTGCACCCAGGTACACATAGCCTGGGGCAGCCAGGGGAGCTGAAGCCATGTACTTAATTTGAAGTTTCCCCTTCCTTTACTAATAATTTCAGATGTATGGTGTAAATTGTTAATATGCAACAGAAGATGGTGAGCCTCAAAAGCTTTTTTTTTGAGACGGAGTCTCGCTTTGTGGCCCAGGCTGGAGCGCAGTGGCGTGATTTCGGCTTACTGCAAGCTCCGCCTCCCGGGTTCATATGAAGGCAAACACTTTTATCCTAACCCCCACTAACTTCATCCTATCCACCCGACATAAACTTTTTCCAGGGCAGTAGCCAGCAAGTCAAGCACACAAGGAAACAAGTAAGACCCAACAGAAATGACAGATGATAGAAACAAATCCAAACCTACTGCATGTATTGGAATTAAGAGACAAAGATTTTTAAAATAAGCTTACCAGGTTGGTTGGTTTGTTTTTGAGACAAGGTCTTGTGCTGTGACCCAGGCTGGAGTGCAATGGCATGATCACAGCTCACTGCAGCCTCGACCTCCTGGACCCAAGCAATCCACCCACCTCAGCCTTCCCAGTACCTGGGACAACAGGCGCGCACCACCACACCCAGCTAATCTTTTTCTTTTTCTTTTTCTTTTTTTTGTAGAGATGAGGTCTCACTATGTTGCCCAAGCTGATCTCCCACTCCTAGGCTCAAGTGATCCTTCTACCTTAGCCTCTCAAAGTGCTGGGATTACAAGCATGAGCTACCGCGCCTAGCCCAGGTTTTTACAAATCAATAATAAGCTTGTAAAATATTTTCAGAGAGCAGAAAAAATTTCTAATGACATAGCAGATTTTAAAAAGAACCAAAAGAACATCCAGGGGAAAACATCCTGTAACAAAATTAAAATCTCAGTGGTCACACCTATTAGAATGGCTAAAATTTTTTTGAAGTTTCATCAGTAGGTGAATAGATCAATAAATTGTGTTGTATCCATACAATGGAATGCCACTCAGCAATAAAAAGGATCAAACTATTGATATCTGCAGCAATATGGATGAAACACAAGATCATTATGCTGAGTGAAAGAAGCCAGGCAAAAAAGAGCACACGCTATATGATTCCATTTACATAAACTTCTGGAAAATGCAAACTTATCTATAATGACAGTTGCCTAGGGATAGGGGTGGAGGGAGGGAGGAATTACAGAGAAGCATGAGGAAATTCTGGGGGTAATGAATATGTTTTTCTTTTTTTGGAGATGGAGTCTCATCCCGTCGCCCAGGCTGGAGTGCAGTGGCGCAATCTCAGCTCACTGTAACCTCCGCCCCCCCAGTTCAAGTGATCCTCCTGCCTCAGCCTCCTGAGTAGCTGGGTTTACAGACACCTGCCACCATGCCTGGCTAGTTTTTTGTATTTTTAGTAGAGACAGGATTTCACCGTATTGGCCAGGCTGGTCTTGAGCTCCTGACCTCAAGTGATCTGCCTGCCTCGGCCTCCGAAAGTGCTAGGATTACAGGCGTGAGCCACCATGCCCAGCCATTTTTATTTTTTATTTATTTTTTATTCTTCTAAAGTCAAAGTATTTCTCTGTCTCCCAGGCTGGAGTGCCGTGGTGCAATCTTGGCTCCTTGCAGCCTGGAACTCCTGGACTCAAGCGATCCTCCTGTCTCAGCCTCCCAAGTAGCTGGGATTACAGGTGCCCGCCACCACGCCCGGCTAATTTTTTAATTTTCAGTAGAGATGGGGTCTCACTATGTTGGCCAGGCTGGTCTTAAACTCCTGACCTCAGGTGGTCTGCCCACCTCGACCTCCTAAAGTGTTGGGATTATGGGTGTGAGCCACCGCACCTGGCTATGAATATGTTTTTCTTTTTTGAGACGGAGTCTGGCTCTGTCGCCCGGGCTGGAGTGCAGTGGCCGGATCTCAGATCACTGCAAGCTCCGCCTCCCGGGTTTACGCCATTCTCCTGCCTCA